GGGGGGTGGAAGATGGCAGGGAAGAGAAGGTGGCAGTTTTGCCCCTTTCCAGCCGGTTTCTATCCCCCCCATGGGCCTAAGCAGGCAGAAATTGCCACCTTCCCTTATCTTCCCAGCCATGTTCCACCCCTCCACAGGCCTAGCAGCCCGAAATCGCCACCTTCCCTTCCCTTTCCAGCCATCTTCCAGCCCCCCACGGGCCTAGCAGGCCGAAATGGCCACCTTCCATTCCCAGCCACCTTCCATTCTCAGTTTCATTCTTTCATTTCCAAACGGTCTCTCTCCTGCCTTGCGTCACACTTAGCTGTCTCTCCCCCCCCCCCCTAGAGTGATTTCTGCAGTTTGAACTGGACCCATTGACCAGTCCATGGGTCCTCCTTTACCACTTCCACCCATTCCTCTTTGGTTTCTCCTTCCCTTGTCAACACCTCCTCCCAGGTATCCAACTGACCTCGCCTGGATAACTCCTTCCCCTTCATACTCTTTCTCCTGTCAAAACCTCCCCTCCTGATTGCCCTACTTTTATTGGGGTTTTCCCTTCGTTTGTTAGTCTTGTCTCTTTCATCCCTGCAGTCAAGTCTTTTACTTCCCCAGTCTCTTTTTCAGGATCAGTCTTTCCATCAGGGGGAGGGAACTGCACACCAACTGTCAACGCCTTTTCTGGTGTTCACTGCTCACACTAACCAGGATTGTATATCTAATTACATCAAATCTTCTAAGAAGAGCTTGTTTAATTAAAATGCTTTTGTTTTTCAATGCAAATAATTACTATTTTTCATGTCCTTTTTTGTTTTATATATATACATGTAGAAAAAACAAATAACTGGGTGGGTAAACTTCGGGAGATAATTTCTCAAAACTGAATCACCTTCATGGCAGATTTAGTTTTATAATAGGGTTTTCAAGATCTCAATTTGTTATGTATCACAAACATTTTGTTCTTGTAGGTTCAAGCAACACAGCCTGCAGAAGTGAATAATCTATACTACCAGAATACTTACCAAACAATGCCTTATGGTTCCTCTTATGGCATTCCTTATACATATGCTGCTTACGGAGCATCGGAGACAAAATCTCAAAAAACAGATAACACAGTACCTTTCAAAACTCCCAGTAATGAGATGACTCCTGTTACTATTGATTTGGTAAAGAAACAGCTTAAAGACAGGTAGGGCAGACCAACTTCTTAAAATGTAAGACCTGTCCTCTAAGTTTCAGTCTGGGGGGCAGATGCAGGAATTCATCAACGGAAGGCCACCGACTGTATCGTCATTATAAAAAGGAAGAAAACAAAAACTATGCAAAAGGCTACTTGGATGACCTCTTTGGAAATGAAGATTGGGGCACCTTCTGGACACAGGAAAATAATTTTGTAACTGAGAAATTGAAAGAACTGATGTTTAGCTTGTCACGTGTTTTTATGAGAAGTATGTATCAGTCTTTCCTGAGTAGGTAAACATTTTAGATAGGAGGTTTAAAATAATTTTTTAAAAAATATTTTAAAATACTATATTGTATTATTTGGAAATCCGAAGTACCTAATGTCATTTGAACACATGAGTCCTTATGTGAACAAATATAATGATTTGAAGGTGAGTCAAATTAGTAGAAAAAATGACACTGTTTAATCTAGGACGAGTTGTTTATGACTTCTTAATGTTAAAGTATAAGAACTTGCTATGTCTTCTAAATTTTGTTGAGACCAACAGGTATTCTTGTAGAAGTCCTAACTCAGTGACAGGATGCTTCCTTGGTATGCAGAAGGTTCTGAGTTCAGTCCTAGGTACCTCCAGACATAGTTGGGAAAGAATCCTTCCTGGAGCCCTGGGAAGACAATGCCAGTTGATAGTACTGAGTTAGGTGAAATAATTGGACTTGGTAAAAGGTGGCTTTCTGTCTTCCCGTGGTACGTCTCAGTGCTAAATAGTCCTCTTGTATGTAAGATATGGAATCTGAAGGAAGTATGTAAAAGACAGTTTATAGTAGAGGTGGCTAAACTGACTTACATAGTTTATTTTCATCTTGTGAAATAAATGTTCCCAGGCAATTCAGAAATTGACTGAAGCGGAATAAGAAGAAATAACCACTTTTGTGTGGATGAATATTTACTAAGGATCCCTGTTACATTATAGGTTAGATAAAAATGAATGAAAGCAGCATTAATCTGAATGTGGACAGTGTTTTTGGGTGTGGAGTGACATGCTAGTTCATTCAATGTCCCATGTACAAGGAAAAGCCTTGAAGCTGTGAGTGTTGGGGGTTTTTGAAGAGATGATTCACGGCTGGAGCAGCTACTTTTATATAAAGTGAAACCAAGCTTTAAAATAAGGTTCATGTGGTGTTTTCAAGGACTGCCCAGTTTATTATGGCATAACCTTTTGTGGATTAAAAGTTTTATACCACAATATATCTGTTTTATTGTGTTATTATTTAAAGCCACCACAGGATTCTTGCAACAAAAACAGCAGCCATGGTTGCCCCTTTGGAGATAGATTCAAAGTGTTAATACCATATTGAAAGTTTTTTTTCTATAAGAAAGTTAACTGTAACAGATAATCCTCTATCTTATAATAGGCTTCTGGATGTAAATGTATATGTCCATTGACCTTTAGGTTGGACACGATGAAAGAATTTCACAAAGCAAATCAGCAACAATACGAGAAGCATCAGCAAAGCCGTGATGACTCTACCAAGGCAATTGAAAGACTGGAAGGGTCTTCTGGGGGTGTTGCTGAACGGTATAAATTTCTGCAAGAAATGCGAGGGTATGTCCAAGACTTGCTTGAGTGTTTCAGTGAAAAGGTAAGAATGCAAAATATATTCATTTTTTTCAGTAACAAAGTTTAGCCTGTGCTCAGACATATTTTTTTGTATGTGCCAGTGAAATACTCAGCACATATTTGAAGGTTTGGTCTTGAATGGGGTCAAAGCAATGTAAGTCACTGTTATGAATGACAGATTTGACGTTTAAGTTGTGAATTCTGCCTTCAATCCAGGCAAGCCATTATAGGTCACAGCAATAACTTAGATTCAGTTTTTTTTCTTTATTTGCATTTGTAAGGAAAACTGTACAGCAATGTTGCACATAAAGGGTCTGCACGAATTACTTAGGAGTTAGAAATGGTTAAAAAGTATATTCAAATCTCTAGTTCTCTAGTGGAATATTAAGATCCTTGACTGTTTTATAGGGAACTTGTAGCTGTAAAAATAATGAAACAGCAGTCTTTCTACTAATGATCGACTACTACAAGATGACCATTTGTTACAAAGTCCTGTATTTGTACGTACAGTGGTGCCTCGCAAGACGAATGCCTCACCGGATGAAAAACCACAAGGCGAATGGTTTTTGGGATCACTGTGGTGCCTTGCAAGACGGCTTCTTCTGTGGCCGTGCTTCGCAGTACTTTTTTTTTTTTTTTTGCAAGACCGATGCCTTGCAAAACGAAAATAATTCATTCGTTTTGCAAGGTTCCCATAAGAATGCATTGCAATGCATTCCTATGGGAAACCGCTTTTCGCAAGACGAAAATTTCTCAAGACGACGCTACTTGTGGAACGAATTACTTTCGTCTTGCGAGGCACCTCTGTACTTCTATTCTTCCTCTCCAGCCTGATTTTGGTAGTTCTGTATGTACTCTTTGCTTGTGCTTAAAGAGTATGTACTCTTTGCTTATGGTTAAAGATACAGAAAAGAATATTCAAAAACTTTATTGTCGGATTAAGGCCATAGTCCTGTACACATTTCGGATATGAGCCCAATCAAAAAAAACATGGCATACTTTTTAATAGCGGGAGGATTTCTATGACATGTTCCCCCCCCCCCCCCCCC